GGGGGGAAGGTGTCACGGTGGGGGGTGTGGAGTTCAGGGGGTGATGTGTGGCCTGTTTCCTACCAGGCCATGGACTGGTAGCAGGCCGCAGCCCAGGGATTGGGGACCATAGTCCTAAAGGATACAAATAAACAGCTAAATGAAGAGATATATAGGGCGAGGTCTGGAAGGGGCCTGAGCACAGGGGCTTCTGTTTCTGTGGAGTTGTGGTGCACGGCCTTCCTGGCACATGGGTGAGTTCTTGTTCACTTTCCTGTCAGCCTCCATGTGTTCAGCTATGCAGAAGTTCCCCAAACCCTGTCTTCTGGGGCCTGTTAAGGCCTTCATTAGACAGGCCTGCCTGAAGCATGGACAACTGTGTTGAAATGTGATTGGACAAAAAGGATGTAATCTAATATTAATACTAATAGAAGGAGCAGGGAAACCCCCATCCTGGCCTGTCTGTTCAGATGACTTTTGGTTTCTCTGTGCACTATTCCTTCCTTCAGGGTGCAGGGCAGGGCTCTCTCTGAAATGAGGGTCTTACGATCCACAATCAGATTAAAATCAGGTAAAAGGAGAGGAGAAGGTCAGAAGAGATTCTTTTTCCTGAAGCCTGCTTGCGAGGCCTAAAGTGCCCCAACATTATAGCAAAAGACTGTAACAAGAACTGTAGGAGTTATGAACCAAGAACCATGGTTGAAAACTCATAAATATGTAAAAAATATATATTTGCAAACCCATAAAATATATTTTAAAATGCATAAATATATATATGTCATATATGTCATATATGTGTTATACTATCACAGGGTTGGATTATATTACTGAGACACAGTGAAAGGATGTTCCAGAGCAGGAAGGTGATACTTCAGTTTTTTCACTATTAGGCCTTGTATCAGTTTCCGTTTGATGCTGTAACAAATCACCAAAGATTTATTGGCTTGACAGAACACAAATGTATTACCTTGCAGTCTTAGAGGTCAGAAGTCTGAAGTGCATCTCACTGTGTAAAACCAAGGTGCTGGTAGGGCTCTAGAAGGTGTTCCTTCTTGGGGACTCCCAGAAACATCCTATTTCCTTGCCTTTCCCAGTTCCTAGATGCTGCCCACACACCTTGGCTCATGACCCCTCCTTCCATCATCAAAGCCAACAAAGACAAGTCCTTTTTGTATCGCATCACTCTGACCCGGCTTCTGTCCTCAAACCTTTCTCGTCTTCTCACCCTCTTCTAATTTTAAGGACACTGGTGATTACATTGGGCCCAATGGGATAATTCAGGATAATCTTCCCTATCTTAAAGTCAACTGATTAGCAATTTTGAGTCCATCTGCAACCTTAATTCCCCTTTGCCATGCAAGGTAACATATTCATGGGGGCCAGAATTACCATATGGACATATTTCAGAGGCAGTGATTTTGCCTACCACAGGCCCAGCCATTCAGAGTTGGCTGAATGACAACAATATACTTCCTCCCCCGTAACTGTGGTACTTTTGTTCATTAATTATTTAATTTTGGACTCTCTTGTTCTATTTCTTACAATGGGACTAATGTAGTCCTGCTTGGGGAAAAAAAAAAATCAGTCCCTAACGAGCTCTTCGAGAAGAATCTCTAAATTACCCATAATTGTACCATCCAGAGATAATTACTGTTAACATTTTGGTATGTATGTTTCCAGTCATCTTCTTTGCCTCTAAGCATGTGTGTTTTGTTTGTGGAGCATTGAATCTTGCTAATTAATCATGTAAAAGAGCCAAAGACACTCCAAATCTTAGTTTATTAAAGGAATCGAACCCAGCCATAGGTCCCATTATACCTGTGTGCATGTTGGCAGGGGAAGGGCACACCAGTGATCTTTGTCTTGCTTTGAAATATCTTAGATATTTCCACTTTATAGGATTAGAGATAACACAGTTGAATCTAATCCATGGCAACAAATTATCAAGAAAGAGCCTTTAGAATTAGAGATACTAGAATTTTAATATTTGTTTCACAGGACATGGCAGTAATCACTGATGAACACTACAGTGATCACTGGGTGCCTTACAAGTACGGACTTTCCAGATAAATTAGCAAGGTTATATATGCAAGTAACACACATGACCTGTATAAGTAACATTTCCTAGACACAAGAAAAAGAATAAGATCGCAATAGTTTAAAATGTTCATAAATATCTCCCGTTTCACATAGAACACTGACTCAGCCTCTTGCTAATGTTCTCAAATTGGCATCTTCACCCGTTAGATTCGTTGAGTTAGATGTCTTATGCAGAATCATGTCTCTCTTCCCCTAGTTGCTGGTGGAGAGGGAACATTATCTCCTTATGTGTCTTAGAATCTTTTTTGCTAGTTTTGCCAGTTAAAGAGAATTTCATTCTTAACATCAGGCTCTGAAAATTGTTTTTAGTTAGCAGTCATGTTTATATATGGTTTGAGAAGCATGTGTTTTAGTGTAAGAAAAATAGACTTGAGATTCTTTTATAAAAATGGATTAAGAGATGTATAATATTACTGATCATCAATAATAAGAGCTAAATTATATTAAAGTAACTGTTACATATTACTGCATGTTTTAGAAAGATTATCTTAATAAACTAAGACAGTCATACCTTGTAGTATTTTTATCCCAATTTTACCAGTGAAGAAACAGACACTGTGAAGTTAGTAACTATCAGAGCTCAGATTCACATCCTGAAAAACCACAGAGCCTGTGTTCATTTCAGCAAAACGTCTCCATTCAAGTTATATATACTTTTTGAAACCTACCTTCTTTACTTGGTATTTTCTCATAAATTCTTTCTCAATTAATATGAATCAATAGTAGTAGTAGTAAATGTATTCTGTTTCATTATGTAGCAGACCATGATTTATTTATATGTCCTCTACTGTGAGGTACTTCTATTTCTAATTTTCATTTTTATTCACTGGAAAATCTGGACAGGATCAATGGGTTGTATCACTGTCCTGGTTGTAATATTTTGCTATAGTTTTGCAAGGTATCACAATTGGTGTAAATTAGGCAAAGGGTACAAAGAATCACTCTGTTACTTCTTATAACTACCTGTTAATCTACATTTATCTCGGTTTAGAAAACAACCTTTTCCAGAAAAAAAAATTATTATGAACATTCTTAGAAATATGTGTATATACTACTATAGCTGTTTCCTGTGGAGAAATTCCAAAAAGTGGAATTTTGAGTCAAATCGTATTTAAGTGCTATGCGTATGCCAGACCTGTGATATTAGTACTTGGAATGAGAGTAAGACTAAAGTGACACAGCTGCTACCTGTTTATGACCCAGCGAGGAAGGGAAACTCTCAATAGAAGCAGCTCAAGGCAGCCTTTGATCAAGACCTGTGGAGAACGCCCTGAGAGGGGCTGGGACATTATTCTGACAACAGCCAGTGAGGTCAGGTCATGACCAATTAATTGTCAATGCACTGGCTCTTCGGTGAGATCAATGGGATTTATTTTCTAAGTTTTATACCTTTACGTATTTTTTTTCTAACAATGTTTGGTGCAAAGTGAAGACTTACTGGGCAGGATGATTTAACAAATGTCTGCAGGCCCTCATGGCTGAAAGGACAAATGCACAAGTAAAATTCACTCTCTCATTAGGACATAAAAGGAAGCAGCCTCAAGATCACTGTCAGTATCTACAGGGCGTCGCTTGGAATTTTATCAGTGCTCCAACATATGTGAGCATCAGAGAGTTGGTTTAGGTTTTGGGAAGTGAAAGGCAACAAAGAGAATTTATTCAGTAACTTCCAAAAAGTTTATGCAGGCTGGCACAGTGGCTCACGCCTGTAATCCTAGCACTCTGGGAGGCCAAGGCAGAAGGATTGCTTGAGTTCAGGAGTTCGAGACCAGCCTGAGCAAGAGCAAGACCCCCATCTCTACAAAATATAGAAAAGATTAGCTGGGCATAGTGGCACGTGCCTGTAATCTCAGCTGCTCAGGAGGATTGCTTGAGCCCAGGAGTTTGAGGTTGCTGTGAGTTAGGCTGACGCCATAGCACCCTAGTCCGGGCAACAGAGCAAGACTCTGTCTCAAAAAAAAAAAGAAAAAATGTTCATGTATTCTGAGCTTTTTCCATAAGATCAGAAGTAGAGTTTTTATGATAAAAAAGAAGAAAGAAATATTCCGTTTTTTGAAAGTCTGCCTCTGAATAAATTTAAATTAAATACGTACACAGTATGTATGTTAAGGCAATGGTAGGCTGTTAAAACGTCTAGTAAGGTATACTTAAAAGCAAGAAAATCAACATAAAAAAATGTGTCGGGGTCCACAGGATTGCCACCAGATTCCATGATTCTCCACATGGAGTCAAGGGACTCAACATCTAGTCCTATTCATGACTGATTTATTCCAGTGAAAGGATACAAAGCAAAATCAGATTTCGTTGCAGGGGACAAGTTGGGAGGAAACCAGGCTCAATCTTTCTCAGTCCTTTCCCAGTGAAATCACACAAGATGTGCTTCATTCATCCAGCAATGCATTAAGACAACACCTGTTCAGTGTTGCCTACCAGGGAAGTTCACCAAAGTCTGGTGGTCCAAGGTTTTTATCAAGGTTCATTCAGTTACAGACATATACTCTATTTAGCACAACCTGAACTTCTAGACTCCCAGAGGAAAGCAAGTATTCAGCATAAACTACATTATTTATACAAGCAGTCGAGGCACTGCGAATCCCTCTTATATTTTAAGGAATGGTGAGAACACTCTGGAATCTGATTCCCAGATGCCAAGGACCAGTATTGTGAACAGGCTTATGGATAGCAGTTTCAGACTCAGTATATTTTCTATGTAAGGGAAACACAACTTCCCAGACTGTTTCTTTCTGTTTCTCTGTTTCTGTTTTTATATGTTTTCTTTCTATTGATATCATATGGTTGGTTTGTCAGCATGTATATGTCTGTCTGTGTCCCCCTCCCTCTCTTACTCCTTCCTTCCCTCCCTCCCTCTTCCTCTTTCCATATATATCCATGTATATGTGTATATATAGATACAAACATTTGTAGTTATATATAGAATTTTACAAACGTATGCTGTTTTGGTAAGCTAACTTTTCTACTTAAAATGTGTCCAAAATATGTCTCATGTCTTTAAGTATTTCTTCCAACTTAGAGTTCGGTTACCATTTCCTTTTTTTTTTTTTTTTTTTTTGAGACAGAGTCTCACTCTGTTGCCCTGGCTAGAGTGCTGTGGCGTCAGCCTAGCTGACAGCAACCTCAAACTCCTGGGCTCAAGCAATCCTCCTGCCTCAGCCTCCCGAGTAGCTGGGACTATAGGCATGTGCCACCATGCCCGGCTAATTTTTTCTATATATTTTTAGTTGTCCAGCTAATTTCTTTCTATTTTTGGCAGAGACGGAGTCTTGCTCTTGCTCAGGCTGATCTCAAACTCCTGACCTCGAGTGATCCTCCCGCCTCAGCCTCCCAGAGTGCTAGGATTACAGGTGTGAGCCACCACCATTTACTTTCTTACTTTGATATTCTACATGTAATTATGCACTCAGCTTTTCTGAACTCAAGGGTACTGAACACAGAGCAGTTCCTTTTCCAGTCTGTCCACCTGCCATGTTTTGAGTAGCATCACCTGCTCTAGAGGCAAGAAGAGATCCAAGTTTGGATGATAAAGTCCCTCTTCACCCTGAAAGGTTATTTGGAGGGACCAGGATATGCTCAGAATGACACTAAACATTCTAAGGACCCATTCTCAGATCCAGATCACAATCCTCCGTGCACACAGTTAGCTAATCTGCAAGATTTTAGGGTACCATCTCTACACAAGACCACCCTTATTTCAACAACAGCAGCTTGTTTGAGGGGTTCCCCAAACTATCCTCAGGTTCAACAGTTCACTAGAAGGACTCACGGAACCCTCACTGAGAGATGGTATACTCATGGTTATAGTCTGTTACAGGGAAAGGGTGCAGATTAACATCCGCCAAGGAACAAAGCACGTAAGTTAAAGTCAGGAAGGGTTCCAGACATAGAGTTTTTGGTGTCTTTTCCCTGTGGAATCAGGACTCGTTACTCTGCTGTGTGATGTGTGACAATAAGCACCAACTGCTGGCAACCAGGGAAGCGTACCCAAGTTCTGATGTCCAAAGTTTTTATTGGGGCGCAACACACAAGCATGATTGATTGATTGTCTACGTGATTAATTTCAGATTCCAGATCGGCTTATAACTGTGTGACCCTAAGCCCACAGCCTGAATCACCTGGTTGGTCTTTCTGGTGTGGCCAGCCCCCAACAAAAACGAAGACATTCCTATCAGGTATGATGTGGATTAACTCGAAAAACTGAGGGCAAGGCCAGACCTCTTTTTGGACAAGTCCAAATTCTTTACTACATCCTTTCCTCCAACTCCCAGTAGGTAGCTGGCCAGAAATCGTCCTGCTGTAGTGTCTGGGTATGTCATCAAGCAAAAAAGGAAAAAAAAAAAAAAAGCCCCTCTGCTATACGCAGCTCGGCTTCCTGAAGTTTTAGGAGGGAGTTTGGTTTTATCCAGAATCCCGTTATTCTTGCCCAAATGTGTCATGTTTGTGTTGGGAAGCCAAGATGGAGGAGCAAAAAGGCATATTAAGTCATTTTGGGAAACCAAGGTGCACCTGGCTTTAATGTCTTTTTTCCCATCCCTAGCTCCGGCCTCTTGGAATTTTTGTCTTCTGTAAGGAAACTCCAAGAAGACTAATCAATTCTTGAATTCTGAAACCATGGCCCAGGTAAGTGTGTATTCTCTTTCCTTCTGGAAATGTGATTTCTGGGTTTTGCAGATATTTTTGTGAATTATCCAAAGCCTTCTACCTAATCAAGGCCCACCTAATTACCTACTTCCCACTTCTTTCTATTCCAGTGAATGATAATGCCATGTAGCCTGACGTCTATTTTTTTGGATAATGTTTACTTAATCATTGAGCACATTATTCAGTGTTACCTATGTATTCACATTTTTGTCAAGAGTAATGTTGGAGCAATGAAGGAACAAAATCCCTTAAGAGAAATATTTAAGTCAAGCCTGTGGTTTGATGAGTTAGATATGTTGATCCTATTTGACCACATGAGAAAATAAATTTTCCAGTGATAGTGTTTTCTAGCTAGATAAAAGGAAATGTTCCTATTTATTGGTCTCAGCCTTAGTGTGTGGTGAGATCTCAAGCATTATGGGGCTTCTAGAATTGGATAGGGTTGTGATTAGGGCCTATGGACAGAGACCATATTCTTGTCAGGGAAACTGGGGGAAAATTTTATTGTTGAATGAACCTGCCAGACCTCTGTGTGATTCTGAATCATTTGAGACCAGTATCCTCTGAGTCATGAACAGGGGGAAAGGCAGGAGCTGTGGATAGTAACAAACACAGGGATCTTCTAGTATGGAAGCAGTAGATGATCTTATGCCTCCACAACTGGGGATAACCTTAGATGCTTTGATCTGCCTAAGTATTTAATACACTAAGTCTGACTTGTCTGTATGATGGAATTAGAACATGCTTTTGTCATTACAAAGGAAGACTGCGTAAAGTGTAATTTGCCACATTGATGAACTTGAGGCTTGAAAATAGTCAAACATGCAAAACCTGTTTTCTAAAATAAAATATATTAAACAAAAATCTCAGGATTTTCTTTTCCCTTAAAAAAAAAAAAAAGAATGCTTTAGGCATCCATACTTGAGAATTTACAAGGCAGGCATATAGATGTAGCAGACCCTATGCTTATAAACAAAAGGAAATGATTGTTTTATCCACTTCCTGACGAGTTCGAATAGTTAAGATTCCCACAGAGTGCAGGTCGTTTTCTGTGCGGCAGTAGGGCTCTCCAGTAACATGCAGGTGTTCTGCGTCAGTCACGGTTAAGACGTTGCCCCCTTACTGCCCCCTCCCCATGTCACAGGCATTCAGTCCACTCCCTGTATTCTTCCCTACCCAGATGGTAGCCTTGTGTCTTCTTTCCTTCATCTTGAAACTGTTTCCTTTCATCAGGAGTATGTGGATTTTTATGTTTTCAGGGCACGGTGACATTCTCTGATGTAGCCATAGACTTCTCTCAGGAGGAATGGGCCTGCCTGACCTCTGCTCAGCGGGACCTGTACTGGGATGTGATGTTGGAGAACTACAGTAACTTGGTCTCACTGGGTAAGTTGTGTGCCTCAAATAACTCAGACTCTGCCTCATGGAACGTCAGCTCTCCACTGTGAATTCTGGCCCATCTTTCAAGAAACTCATTGAATTCCTTCTTCCTGTTCCCAGTACGGAAATGCGCCTTACACCCCTTCATCTCCCATCCATTAGTTATCTTCCCACCTTTGTCTGGCCCTCCCTGTCATCATCTCTCTTCCTTAATGACCAAGGAATGAATCGGAATTCTGGGATATTTATTTCACAACCATCTTCAAAGAAACTGAGCTTCATCCTATGATATTATGTTTATATCCAAGTTGCTATTGATGATCTGTGGTATTTTGGGGACCCACCGTTAGGGAAAACATCAGGACACATCACTCTGATTCGTTCCAGTAAACCAGCTTGTGTGTTCGAAGTAGAATGGATTGGACAAACAGATTTTGTATAAAACCAAAGTGAGCGTATTTCATTTCTTACACATCATACCTGAAGAGAAGTTGACAGTTACAATCTATGAACTTTGAGTTAAACATTGAATGTTCAATCTGAGGAGCAGGATTCTAAAAAAATAAAATAAAAAATTTTAAAAAATAACATTGAATGACAATATTTCGTGTCTCAGGAAATTTTTTATTTTTCTCCTAGCAAAGCAACAATAATATTTGTAGCTAATATTATGCTTACTCTGTGCCATGCTCTGTTCTAAGCACTGTGTGTGTGTGTGTGTGTGTGTGTGTATAAATACATTTAATTCTCACAAGTTTATGAGATAGGCACAATCATTGTCTATTTTGGAGGTGGGTATACTGAGGCACAAAGTGATTTAGTTACAGGAGGCAGAAGCAAGAATTGAATCCAAGAACTCTGGCCCCCAGAATCCATCTGCAAACTACCATTTTATACTTGCCTCTGGGGATAATGCCTACAGAAATTTAAAATAAGACCTTTTCTTTACCTATCTGGTTTCTTGTTTGTTCTTTAATCCTTTCTCTTTATGAAGTCTTTATCACTAGCATTTTGATTTTTAGGCTTTTACAAATTTGACTGATGCTCAATTAAAAAAGTTCCACATCATGTGGCATTTCTTTTTTTTTTATGAAAGCAGAGCCTTTCATTTCTAAGCCAGGCATGTCTGTCTTATGGAAGCAAAGGAGAGAAAGCCTTGATGATCGTGAGGGAAAAAGACAAGAAGAGTGAGAACCAATGAGAGTGAGAACCAGTCTGGCAACAGCAAGCCATTCTTACAAAGAACAACCCAGCTGGGCAGGGAGCAGGAACACCCCTTAACTGTTTGGAAAGCACCCTACAAAGGTTGTGGCCCAAAGCCTTTAGGAAAGAAAAAGAAAAGATCTCACCATAAACTTGATCTTCACCCCATTTCCCTCTCACCTTGTTTTTCTTCTCATATTTCACCCCTGTTACATGTGTTGCTGATGCTGCTGGTCTGTGGACCATGCATTAAGTAGTTAATGAAATAGATAACATGATCCTCTGCCCTTTGTAGTTCCTGAAAGTTGGTTGTTATCCTAGCTTTAAGTGCTTTTTTCTTTTATCTAGGTCTTGGCAATACTGCTTCCTGGGTGCTGTTACGTTCTTTCATCATGAAGCACCTAATAACTAGTTGTGGCTTTCTTGTGCTGTCAGCAGTCATTGACATGCCTACATTCATCATTTTATTGGGGTTCAAAATGGTGCCAGTTTGTCATTGCTTCATTTATTAGCTGTCATGATTTATTTTTCTTTCTTTCTTTTTTTTTTTTTCATTTGGAGAGAAGAGGTCACCATGAGGCCCCACCACTCTCCTTCCTCCAGCTGTTGTGATATAAAGAGGAGCTTTGCTCTGTGTGCTAATTGCTTATGCAGTGGCTGTTCATATTGGATAAAAAGGATAAAAACTTTGTTCTTTTTCTTTAATGATGGTTTTTATAATAAAGGACTGGTTTCCTAGCATGCTCCAAAGTTAGCCATTTAACACTTTTTGGCATCATTACGAGCTCATAGATTTAAACGTTCTTCAGACCTTTGAGATTAGCATCCTTATTGATGCTCAAGTTTTTCTAAAGTTTTCCTCATAGCTCTTCTAAACTTTTTCACATTTTTTGTTAAATTAAGTCTTGCCCATTATCTGTTTTGTTGCTTTTATCCAGATACTTTTTTTTTTTTTTTGGTTGGGGAGGAGACAGGGTCTTGCTCTGTTGTCCAGGACAGAGTGCAGTGGTGTCGTCACAGCTCACGGCAACCTCATGTTCCTGAGCTCAAGCTATCCTCCTGCCTCAGCCTCCTGAGTAGCTGGGACTACAGGTGTGAGCCACCAGGGCCAGCTAATTTTTTCTATCTTTTGTAGAGATGGGTTCTTGCTCTTGCTCAGGCTCAGAATTACTTTTAATTATATTACTAACATGTACATATTTCACTTTCAGAATATTCTTATTTTTTTACAGTAGTTACATGTTTTATTTTCTTGAGTTTTCCAGGAATGTCATCACATCACCTATAGATTATATTTGTTTTCATCTTTATTTTTGAGATTTATTCCTCTAATATCTTTTGGTTAATTGTGTCAGCTGGTAGGAAATAATAGACTAATAGTCGGGACCCTTTTCGTGTTTGACTTTAGAATGAATGCCTCCAGTGTGTCCTCATTAAGTATGTGGTGCCAGAAGTAAAATCTGCATTTTAACAAGAGCCCTGGGTGATTCACGTTTATTCTACTGGAGACTTTTTATTTCTATTTGACAAGTTTTTGGTTTGTGGCTAGGTTTGTTTGTTTTTGTTTCCCCTTAAAGGAAACAAAATATGTCATTTTTTTCCAGATTTGGAGTCATCATCATATGACCCTAAAGGTTTAGCTACAGGAAAGCATATTCGTGAAAGAAATTTTCCCAAAAGGAAAGAAAGCCTTGATGGAAAAAGGAAATCCCATAGCCTTAACCGGATGAGTGAAGGCACACCTGAAGGACCGCCACGCCCTCGAGTGAGATATATCAACCAAATGGTGGTCACCTATGAAAAGAGGCCTAATAGAGAAGGCACACTTACTCGATCACATCAGAGAATTCAGATTAAGGACAGTACCTTTGAATGTAAGGAATGTGGGAAGGCCTTTAGTCGTGGCTATCAGCTTAGTCAACATCAGAAAATTCATACTGGCGAGAAACCTTATCAATGCAAAGAATGTAAGAAAGCCTTTCGTTGGGGTAATCAGCTTACTCAACATCAGAAAATCCATACTGGCGAGAAGCCTTATGAATGTAAAGACTGTGGGAAGGCCTTTCGATGGGGCTCAAGCCTCGTTATTCATAAGAGAATTCATACTGGTGAAAAACCCTATGAGTGCAAAGACTGTGGAAAAGCCTTTAGACGTGGCGATGAACTCACTCAGCATCAGAGATTCCATACCGGTGAGAAAGACTACGAGTGTAAAGACTGCGGGAAAACCTTTAGTCGTGTGTATAAACTTATTCAACATAAGAGAATTCATAGTGGGGAGAAACCTTATGAATGTAAAGACTGTGGGAAGGCCTTTATTTGTGGTTCAAGCCTCATTCAACATAAGCGAATTCACACAGGTGAGAAACCCTACGAATGTCAAGAGTGTGGGAAGGCCTTTACTCGAGTCAATTATCTTACTCAGCATCAGAAAATTCATACTGGTGAGAAACCTCATGAATGTAAGGAGTGTGGGAAGGCCTTTCGTTGGGGTTCAAGCCTGGTTAAGCATGAGAGAATTCATACGGGTGAGAAGCCGTATAAATGTACCGAATGTGGCAAGGCCTTTAACTGTGGCTATCACCTTACTCAACACGAGAGAATTCACACTGGTGAAACCCCTTATAAATGTAAGGAATGTGGGAAGGCCTTTATTTATGGGTCAAGCCTTGTGAAACATGAGAGAATTCATACAGGGGAGAAACCCTATGGATGTAAAGAATGTGGGAAGTCCTTTAGCCATGGCCATCAGTTGACACAGCATCAGAAAACTCATGCCAAATCCTACGAGTGTAAGGAATGTGGAAAGGTATGTAATCATGTGACCCAATTTAGAGAACATCAGAAGACTCATAAAAATTGAAAAACCTTTTGAATACGGTAGTCCCCTCTTACGGGGGTTTCATTTTCCACAGTTTGAGTTACCTGTGGTCAACCGCAGTTTGAAAATATTAAATGGAAAATTACAGAAATAAACAATTCGTAAGTTTTAAATGGTTGAAAAACCTTTTGAATAC